ATTTGCCGAAATTATTGCCGAAATTTTTTAAAATCTTTTTATCAAAATACATAATATAGTATAGTTATTTTGGAGGGCTTAATATAAAAAATTTAGCAATACTGAAATGTTTGCCGAAATACATTTTTTCAAAAATAATTTAGGCACACATGTATAGCTCTATATAATATAAGACTAATTGGTCTGATATTTTAATTACAGTCTGCCCTCGTTATAATGCAGTGATCGGGCTGAAAAATTTTATCTATGAGCTGACACTTATTACATAAATATAATCCTTTCAGAGTCAGTCATTTGACACAATTACAAGTTCTAAAATAATCAATTGTTTAACAATTGCAAGCTTTAAAATAATCAATCATATAAGTTTACATACGATTACTTTAGAACTTGTAATTGTCAAATGGCTGACTCTGGTGAGGGGTTATATTCACATAATAAGTATCAGTTCCCTATTATATAATGAAATATCCGCCATAACGTTATATAACTTCTAAATTGTTCTTAAAATTTTTTACAAGATTTCTCCTTATAACGAGCTATAAATAATCTGTTATAACGAGGGTAGGCTGTACTACTAGAAGCTTCAAGAAATTCTAATTATCAGTGCCATGCAGATTTTTATGAAATATATGAACCAACATTACCATTAACTCTTTTCCTAATTTTGTCATCAAATTAGATGCTGATTTATGACGTTTATATTCGCTCTCTTTTAAATGCTCATGTAATTTAGTTATATCATTGCAATCTTTTAGCAACATTTCAAACTCTGGTTTTTTTTGATTATTGTTATTTTTTTTATCTAGAATATTCATGTATCGGTTTTCATAAAATTTCGCCGATTATATAAACATATCAATACAGTTTTCATAGAGGGTTTTATTAAGTAACGGAATAAACGCTATTTTGTTTTTTCTTCTTTCATCCAAGATATTAAAAGGCTTGATTAATGGATACTGTAATTTAAAAATTATTACATATGAATGATGCAAAGGGAAAATCAGATTACGGGGATTTCAAGTTGATCATTTATTTTACCGGATTCAGCTCTGACGGAGACACATAATTAAATTTACTTTTTACGTTTCTAACTCTAGTAAACAACAAATAATAAACTTGAAAGCCTGATGTCCTGCGTTGCCCATAAAACATTTAATAACTTACCTCCAAAATAACAATCTACACTTAGTTCAATATTAATCGACTTCAATTCAGATAGGTCAACTTTGCAACTATCATCGAGCTTAATTTTCCATTGACTAAATGGTGTAGGAATAAAATAATTCTTTGAGGTGAATAATGCTTCTGTTTTTATACTATTAGGCACTTTATATTCAAATACTTTAGGTCTTATAGGCTCCGATCTAAATGAATATGTTTTTCCTTCATATTTATCAGCAAATACTCCTGTGTTACTAATGTACAGAAAGATTGAATCACCCTCAGATCCGACTCCTTCCAAGAATACTTCAATTTTGTTAAGTCTTACACGTTCGCGCCTCAAAAATTCTTTGTGATCTAATGTAATTTCAAGTGTAATGAATCTATCATGCCTAAATTTTTTAATGTATTCTTCTTCAGTAAGATGAATTGAGGGCCTTGAATGTTGAGGTTCACCTTTAAATTTAGTGAGTGTCGTTTCCATATCCATTTTAATATCTTTACGATCGTCCATGTGCTGATGAATAGTTTTCATAACTGAAGGTTTAATTTTAGATTCTGAAAGGGACCAATAATAGTAGGCACTACGATAATTTTCTATATATGTAGACATCCAACATTTAATGCCAATAAGGCGCTCAAATAGTAACAATTCAATTTCATCACAATTATCTTGTCTTTCTTTATAAACATCGATCATGTCTTTAAGTCGTATTTCCTTTTTTTTAAACATTTCTACTTGCAATTTGATTCGCGAATACTCTTTAAAACTTTCCATTTCTTCAATCTTTGCTTCAATGTACGCATCAATGTAATTAAATAGATCATTCAATGAATTTAAATATTCACTTGCTCCATTAATTTGTTGCTCGATAGGCTAATATACAAATGATAAAAGATTTGTAATTATCAGTAAAAATAATTATTGTGATTAAGTAATTGCATATTTACATAATTAAGTAATTTTCTCATATCTTTTTTAATTGATTTCCATTCGGCCATTCTTAAATAAATTCCTATTCGACCTTCCGTTTCAAGTCTACATAAATTTATCAAAATTATTAAACGTTTATTTAGTAATTTAGAGAATAAGACTAACCTACGTTTTTGCAAGCGTGTCAATATCCAATGACTCGATGTTTCCTTTTCTTTTCTCTACATAATCGCTAAAATTCTCAAGCTTAGCGAGATTGTTCGTTAAATCTCCAATAATTTGTTGAATTTTCTTAATATTATCAATTACATTGTTTATGATCTTAATCCCAGCGGTAACATTAATTTTTTCTATTATTACTTTTACAGCTACTACGGCTTCTTTGACCGAATTAAAAGTCTTGTTTATATTCTCAATTAAATTTATTATGTCAATAGAGACAATAAACAATTGACAAAAACAAAGCGCTAGATTAATTACAGAAAGCACCATTTTTTTTCGTGCTTCAGCTATTTTTTCTTGCTCCCATTTATTGATCCCTTCCCTAAAATCAGCCAACTTTTTGCCCGCGATGTCTTTTTTATTCTATGATTAAGAATTTGATCAGTATGTTATTATTTTAAAATTAATTTTATAGCATGGCTCTATATATACATGTATGCCTAAATTGCCCATCTTAATAAAAAAGTAATTACGGCATTTAGGCTGCCGAAATTAGTCTTATATTGCCGAAATTAATTTTCATATTTGCCGAAATTATTGCCGAAATTTTTTAAAATCTTTTTATCAAAATA